CGTCAGCGCCGTCAGCGCCTTCGCTCCTGAACAAACAGCAACAAAAATACCAGCCTCACAATGGGTGGCAGGCAGCCAAGGCAGGCAGGGCCGGCCGGGAATGGAAAATGGATCCAGCATGCCAAGTCTGGCTGCTCCTTAGACACTGCCCGGAGGACTCGCCCCGGAACGCCTCGTGTGCCAAGCCGAGAGGAGCGAGTTCCAGGAGCCCTGTGCAGTCTTCAGAGCCAGCTCCGCTCCCTGCGCCTTCTCCCCGGGTGGGTTCCCACCCCAGCTCTCTGCGGCCTCGGGGAAGGCCTCACGCCCGGGCTTCTTGGAACCCTAGAATCGCAGGGCTGGCAGAGACCTCAGGCAAGAACCCAGCCAGGGCCCCAGTGTCTCCTGCTGGTGTTTAGCGCAGGGCAGGGGGCTCGTGGGCCCCGGGGCCGTGCGCTGGGCGGGTTCAGGAGATGCTGGTCTGGGCTCTCAGACGCAGTCGCAAAGGGCCCTGGCACTGCACCGCTACAGCTTCCCTTGGCAGCCTTGAGCCAGCGCTGGTGTGTCCGGCCCATCCCAAAGGTCTCTCAGTGGGTGGCAAGTCTCAGGGGCAGCCCGGAGCACCTGACAGGAACCTGGCGGCTGCAGCTGCGGCGTTGCTTAGAAGGGGCCCCAGGCCTCCTCGGGAGGTTTGTCCCGGGGGTTACCTGGGCAGCTCGGGTCCCAGCCAACAAGCACGTTTCTAGTGCGCAGCACATTGGAGAGGGAGCCTGGAACCGCTGGAGGTGGCGTCTCAAACACTGGACCGGCCCTGAGCCGCGGTCCCAGCACGCACCATGAAGGCCCCGAGGGCACAGGGAGGTGCTGCAGGCCCCCATTGCTGGGCCGGAAGGCCAGTGAAAGTCCCAGCAGGGCCTCCCGGCGTGCAGGGCCAGGCGCAGCGAGCGCCACGAGGCTGCAGTTTGCCCTGCCCTTGGGGAGGAGCCGCGAGGCAGGAAACGAGCAGGGCGCTCGCCAAGGAAGCCGCGACGTGGCGCACCCATCCTCCTGCCTCCACAGGCCCGGAGCCTATGGAAATGGGGGGCCCTCGCTCTCCAGTACAGAGCAAAGCACCCTCCCCACAGAGCCCAGACTGTCCTGCCCACCCAACGCCCCTTCCACCATGCAGCCCCCGTGAGCCCCCACACGGCCCTCAGGACCCGCCTGGACTCTCGTCAGCACGTCCCCAGCTAGAGCAACTGGTCCCAGCAGCTCCCTCGCCCCCTGGCACAGCTGCCCAGCTCTGGGCTCTCCCCTGGAGTCAGGCCCTCGCAAGTGCACCCTGCAATGCCCACAGCACAGGGGCTGTCAGGACACAGCCGGAGCCACACAAGAGGCCGTCAAACTGGTGGAAGCAGCTCCCCTCGGATCCTTGTGCACGATGATCCAGACTCCTCACCGGCCCCACTTCCACCCTCCGGGAGGGGTCAGGCCCCCGGAGCCATTGGCCGAGTCCCACTGCCAGGGGAGAAACCAGGGGTGCCCCAGGCTGGCTCCCTGCCTTGCCAGGGCCAGTCCTGAGAGCAGCCCCAGCAGGGGGCAGATTGGGCCCGTGCCGACCGCCCGGCCCGGCCCTGTTTGCGGAAAGCGGGTGTGGTGCGCGGCCAGAGCCAGTGGCCCTGCACTTTCCACTGGAAAAGCCATAAACCAAACTCCAGCTCTAAAAATAGAGCCAGCGATTGATCCAAGCTGGCTCCCTGCCTTGCCAGGGCCAGTCCTGAGAGCAGCCCCAGCAGGGGGCAGATTGGGCCCGTGCCGACCGCCCGGCCCGGCCCTGTTTGCGGAAAGCGGGTGTGGTGCGCGGCCAGAGCCAGTGGCCCTGCACTTTCCACTGGAAAAGCCATAAACCAAACTCCAGCTCTAAAAATAGAGCCAGCGATTGATCCAAGGGCTTCGTTCAGCCCCTTTGCAAGGGACGCGGCAGCCACCGCCAGCTCCGCAGCAGCTCCTGGG